CGTCTCTGTATCTGGCGACGGCTTGGCAGACAGCGTCTCTTGCAGCTTTTCGACCCTGTACAACAAAAATCCAAAGTAGGAAGGAAATCGCACGTCAAAATATCAGAAACCAAAACGTCAACGTAAGGCTCGCGTTGCAGTGATTGTTTTTTTGTCGGTGAATGGCTTCATCATGAACATCTCGATGCGTATTTCATCGAATAGTCGGACTCGGTACAGTGGAGGCACTGAGCTTCTTCGAGTAAGTCGAAGTCGAATAGGATTGGCTTTGTTGCTTTACCAGGCTGCGCGCTGCTCTGGCGTTTCAGCGGGCGCTTCCTCGTCGACTGCCTCGACGTCTGCCTCTCCGTCGTGCACTGCCACAGCGTTGGTCGTCGTCGTAGCAGCAGGAGCAGCAGCAGCAGCAGCAGCAGGAGTGGATGGCTTGGACGAAGGCGCGGATTCGCCCAGCAGCAACGCCTCTTCTTCCTCGGCGCTCATCTCCGTTCCACTGGCGATCGCAGCAGCAGCAGCAGCAGCAGCGTTAGAAGCAGCACGAGCACTGGCAGCGGTCGTTGCAGCGGCGGACAGAGTGGTCGATGGTGCCAAAGCCGGCGCTGGCGTCCCGAGCAGCTCGTTCTCGTCGTCGTCGTCAATGGAGAATTGGCCGCTCATCGTGTTCGATTCTGCTATTTGGGGAAAATGTAGGACTGGAGTATCGAATTCCCAAATGAACTTGGATTGACCTCACGAAAACACGAAACTAGCTCACAGAAGCTGTTGCCAAATTTGTTATCTCTATGAAAGTAAAAGTACATTTTGGGGATTGACAAGGCTACACCTTAGCAGAACGAGCTGCCACTTGCTCGGAACACAGGTTAGGAACAACGAAATACCCCAGGAAAAGGGCTTACAGGCACACCAACAATAACGAAAAGAAATACATAGAGTTTGACGAGAAATTGATTTCCAACAAACAAGTTTTACAAGCTGGTCAGGAACAGCAGGGGATCGAGTTTTACAAGCTGGTCAGGAACAGCTGGGGATCAAGGTTTTCAAAGCAGACCTGGTAGACGGCAGTAAAGAGAGGGAACCTGCAACGCAATCGCAGAAATATAACGTCAAAAAGACCATCCAGCAAAATCAACCCAACACAAAACAAACACAATTCCAACTTGCAAACTTACTCCTGTGTCAGCTTCTTCTCGGAAAGAACGTGGTATACCTCTTTGGCGGTCAGAGTGCCCTGGAGCTTTTGGCCGTTCAGCAACTCGGCCTCGAGTTGTTGGAAGGGCTTGCGAGTCTGGACGTAGGCCTCGGCGACTTTTCGGTTTCGACCACCAGCGCAGGTGGTGATGAGATCCGCCACACCGCAGCTCTCAAAGTACACCATAAAGTCGTTGCAGTTGTAGAAGAGGCGCGCAAACTTCATCATCTCGCAGAGACCAATGCGAATAATGGCAGCCTTCGAGTTGTCGCCCAGCTTGAGGCCGTCGGCGAGGCCAGCAGCAACACCAACAATGTTCTTGAGTGCACCGCACAGCTCTACTGCAATGGTGTCTGTGACAACGTTCACGCGGAAGTACGACGTGTTGAAGAGCTGCTTGTAGATGCCGCCCATTCGCACATTCGCGCAACCGACCGTGGTTTCGCAAAAGTTTTCGGCCGCAACCTCGCCAGCAATGTTGGCGCCCATCAGCACGCCGACCTCAATGTTGAGCTCGTCGCGAATGACGTCCGAGATGAGCTGGATGCCGTTCGTCGTGTCAATGCCCTTGATGAGGGAGATGGCCTTGGCGTCGTGGGCAATCTTGCCGTGGAGGGACTTGCAAATGTTAATGACGAACTGTCAAGGTCGGGGTGTGTGTGTGGGGGGGGGTTGAGGGAGGAAAGAAGGAAGGGTGAGAGACGGTGAGAACAGGGGCGTACGAGCAACACAACCAAAAATCTGACAAACAGATTCAACAAAGTGCAGCAGTCCTTGTACCTGATGGGGCACAACAAAGACGAGAATGTTGGCATCCTTGGCAGCTTCGACGACGTCGGGCACTGCAACCTGTGACGGAGCATCAAACGTCAATGATGTTCAAGTCAAAACAAACCAACAACAACAACCAACAAGCCAACAAACAAACAACCAAACTTGATATCGCAGACAACGTACAACATTGCTGGGCAGCTTGATGCCGGGGAGGTACTTGACGTTCTCGTGCTCCGTGTTGATAATTTCAGTGAGCTTGCGGCCGTTGACGACCTCTTCGTAGACGTACATTGTGACGTGCTGGTCGAAAACGCCCGAGTGTGCCTGGACGTTGTTGCCAATGATCTTTGCGATGGCCGAGCCCCTGATGACAGGTTCAAGGTGGAGGACGAAGTGAAGAGTGAGTTGAGGTTTGTGATCACAGTTGAACTACTTTTTTTTTTTTTTTGGTCGTTGTTCCATTGTGTAATAATGATTGTTGTTATTATTATTGCAGTTAGAGTGGAGAGGGGGGTGAGGGGTGCGTGATGCGCTCCAATCAGAGCCCACAGTCGCATTCTCCGTTGCTGCTAAATTTCAGTTCGATGACCGAACAAACCACGCAGTTTTGCGTCCTGACTCCCATCCCACTTTCCCCCTTCCCCTCTCTCTCTCTCTCCCAAAGCGTGCACCTGACATGCCTCTATCGTACATCCATCCATCCATCCATCCATCCATCCATCCGACGCTGACGCTGGGCTGAGCCAAATCCTCCACCGAATCGTTTCGCTTGGTTCTTCTTTGCTTTTTTCCATCACTCCTCTCGATCTCTCTCTTCTCCCCACTCCACCACCAAAACCTACCCCGCCCCCAAGTGTGAATGAGGCTCGTTGATGACGCAGTGAGAGTGCTCGCTTCTCTCTTCTCTCTCTCTCTCCCAAGAGTGAACAGCCGGCGGTTTTTTTACCACACACGCGCACACACGCTCAGACAACCAATGGAAACGCAGCAAACCGATAATAATAAAATGATAAAATAATGATAAATCCAAAGAAACGACGAAAGAAGCGCTCATTCGCATTGAAGTGGAAGCAGAGCAGCAGTAGAGCAAGAATGGAGGAAGAGAGAGAGAGAGAGAGAGAGAGAGAGAGAGAGAGAGAGAGAGAGAGAGAGAGAGAGAGAGAGAGAGAGAGCGAAGAGAGGAGAGAGTGAAGGCGATTGCTGCAAACTGTGATTGAGCGGCACAGTGAAGCAGCGAACATTCAAAAAACCAAACCAAACCGACCACTTGTCAACATCATGGCGAACAGACAGTGGACGTAAAGCCCCCCGAGGTGCAATGAGAAAGAGAGCGGGTCAGAGAGGGAGAGAGAGAGAAGGAGTCGCAGTGTGGTAAGCGTGTCGATTCGCTTTCGATGGAACTCGCTTTGTTCCGCCACGTTGGAACCAAAAGAGCAACCAAACCACATGCGCAGCGACAACAGTGTTCGTCATCATCACAGAGGCTCATCCATGGGGATATCGAGAACGAACGAACGAAAGCAAGGTGGGGGACAAGGAGGGTTGCGTCCATTCAGCATGGAAGCGAAAGTGATTACCAGTTGCCAGAGCCAATGATGCAGATCTTGTACGGCATTTTGTGTGGGAGTGCTATTGAATAGGACAAAATAATAATAAAAAATCAAAGAGTGAGCATTTTTGTATGGGGAGCGATGATCGATCAATAAGGGGTTGAATCTGCATGCAATATGCGTTTCCTCTCATTGAGCTTGTGAAGATCAGAGATCAGAAATCCAATGATTGCAGAAAGCATTACTGGGTTGGTGGGATGAAGTGCACGAACGAGTTTTCTTCTTTTGCGCTTACATTGAGTGTGCTTTAGCGACCCGCGCCGACGGGAGTTTGATTTCTGAGCCGTCGGCGATCGCTGACTCTTGCTGCTACCGTTGCTGCTGCTGCTGATGTTGCTGCTGTTGCTGTGGCTGGTGGACGACGCAGCAGGCGCTGATGAGGTGTTGGCGGATGCCGAACGCAGCACCTGCTGAGGTGGCTTGGATGACGACGAGGACGAGGACGATGCGCACGGCGCGCTGGAGAGCAGCGAAGTCATCGGAAACAGCGCGTTCAAACGGCGACTCGCAGCGTCAACTCCGGACGAGGCTGAGGCGGTCGCAAAGAATGACGACGGTGCAGACGTCGTGGCAGCGTCGAGGCCGAGAAGGGCGCTCAGGTTGGTGCGCGGGGTGGCGGCAGATTGGTCGCAGTGAGTCATCAGAGAAACTGAGAAGTGGAGAAGTAGAACGAAACAACAAAAATCGGAAGTGAAGCATCTCCGTAGATAGATTGAAAAAGAATCAAAAGACACAGAAATGAAGGGAATGGATCTGCAAGCGTCAAGGTGAAGAAATCAAGAATTGTCGAATCGGATTCACAAATCATGCACGAGATTGATCTGTCTTCTGCGCTCTGCAGAAAAGTGCCTCGGTCGTCAAGAAACACTGCCAAACGTCTTGTGGAAAGCGATAGAAATTAACTCTGAATTGGTAAAAGTACAAAGGACAAAGGCAAAGGGCTGAACGCAATTCCATTCGCAACGAAATCATGGTACTTTTCGCATGTCATCTGCCTCGCCCGGAACCTCTCGCGTGTGATGCCCTTGGCTGCTTCGAAATCACAGGTCGGCTGCGTGTAAAATCATTCCAACCGCGTGAGCATTTCTCGTCTTCGTTGTTGTCTTGGTTCTCGTGAGCTCGCCCCCCCCCCAAACAGCTTACCTTGCTCCAACTGGCTTCTGATCTTCGTCATCTTCGTCATCCGACAGCTGTGTAGAAGCCCAAACAAAAAAAAACAGGAAAACAGACAATGTCAAACAACTCATTGGCATCTCAACTTGCATTCAGCCCGTCGTTTACGTACCACAACGACCCCCGCGGCAGCTGCACGGGTCGTTGCCAGCGACGTTTGACTGGCACCACCACGACCGCCACGACGAGCCACAGGCGTGACTACGGCACCTCGGGAACGCGCCGTCGCACTAGAATTCGGCCGCCGAGAATGTTCCTCGTCTTCGTCGTCGTCGTCGTCGTCGTCATCGTGCTTCATGGCCGTGGCAGACTTGCGACTGCGCGTTGAGGATGATGTTTGTCGACGAGAACGCGAGGAGGTGCTGGCTGCAGAGTCGCTGTCGCCGTCGTCGTCTTCGAGTTCGTCTTCGGGTTCGTCTTTCTCGTCCTCGTCTTCGTCATCTTCAGAAAAGGCCGATGCCCGGCTGCGACGCGACGTTGAGGCGCCACGACCCCGAGTGCCCCGGGTTGCTGCTGTCGTGCCTCGCCCGCGAGCAGCGGCCCCTCGACCAGCTCCACCAGCTGCTCGCCCGCCACGCTTACTACTGCTTGCGATGGATGTCGAACTGTCCATATCAGACGAATCTTCGGCATCGCTGGCTTCCGTGGTAGGACGCGGTGCGCTCTAGTGCAATTGCAGCAAGTAAAGTCAGCCAAAACTCTGCTCACGGTCAAAAACGCAACAATACAATAGTACAACAATCCTTGCTTTGTAGTGCTCTTTGCGATTCGTTCGGACAGAAGCCATGATATCTTCCTCGCCTTGGATGGAATCCTTGGGTGCCTTGATCAAGTTGGCTTGTGTCATTTCCAACGCGTACTTGACAAAGCTGTCAAAGCATTTTGTGTTTCAACCACCACCACCAGATGAGCAACGCCGCGTCCTCAAACCCCAAACCCCCAGGCCCATGTGCAAGCACTGCGCACGTACTCGCGAATGGCCTCCTTTTCGTCCTTTTCAACAAAGGCGTGAACCGCGGTACCCAGATCTTGCTCACTGAGCAACTCGAGCGGCTGTTTGGAGCGCGCCAGAATGTCATTGACAAGATCTTGCATGCGCGAAGCATCGAGCTCTGACCGCTGACGCGCGGCACTATCGTGCTCATCGGCATGCGAGTCGGGCTCGGGAATGCCACCGCGTTCTGAAAGTTGTTCAAAAGCAAAAAAAAAAAAAAAAAAAAAAAAAAAAAAAAAAAAAAAAAAAAAAACCCGACCAAACACAAGCGAACGTCAACCACAAAATCTCCACTACAAACAACTGACGACTCGAAACTCACGGCCTGGGACGTGCGAGGCGCGCCGGCGATAGAACTGCAGCAGGTCTTTGGGGTTGGCCACACGCTCGACAAACTGCTGGCCAAACCGCTGAATGTTGGTCATCTGAAATCCCCCAGAGTACTCGACACGCAGCCGAATCAGTGGCTTCATGACAATCTCATCGTTTCCGTGCTCTTCGTCGCATTTGGCAATGAGCTCGTTCACCCGGTCAGCAAGAACCTGGACGACGTCGTCAGGCCTGGACGGCAACAGACCTTCCTCCGAGAGCACAATGTCTTGCATGTAAAACGGTCGAACAGTCCGCAACGGTATGGTTTTGAGAGCGTACGAGCGCTTCTTGATGCGGAGAATTCCGACGTGTCTGGCAGAGGGACATGCACATGAGAAATCTCTAACTTCAATTCATCAAAAAACCTCGGGCACTTACTTGCGCACAGACTCGCCTTCCGCAAGCGATGTCGCAATGCTTGATCCTGGCTGAATGACCTCAAACCCGTTCGTGCTTTGCTCGGGTTGGATGCGGCACTCGTGCTCATGTCCCCAAAGTACAAGATCTAGAAAGTCGTCGAGGAAGACTTCTGGGATGTAGTTTGTCGGGCCATGCTTGCAACTGGAGACAAAGAATCAGAGCCAATCCCCCATTTCAGAGAGCACATGAGACGCTTGCTGACAATTCCCACGTTTCGACCAAAGCAAGAAGAATGTTTTTTTTTTCCTCACCGGTTTTGATGGAGTACAAACATGTTAAACCACTCGTCCTGATCTTCTTCGGGCCGAAGCATTTGGACTTGCTTGTTGTTGAAGGTGCGATGGAGCCGCTCGTCTCGCACTGCACCCAGGCCAAACAACGCCAGCTTGGTTTGTCCCTTTTGGAGCAAGACGGGCGAAACGGTAATATTGTCAATCTCCTTGACACGTCCAAAGTAGTTGACCAAGTTGATCCCGCTCAGAAGGTCCATTGCGGACAAGCCATCCTGCCGACAAGCAACACCAGACCCAAAACAAGGATGCGGTTTATCGTGTGAGGTCCAGCACGAATTTGCAAAATTAAGAACAGCTCGTCGAAACGGCGCATTACGCTGGCAGGATCGTCGTGATTGCCATGAATGGTAAAGATTGGCATCCCAATGTTGAAATTGGGGTCGAGGTAGTTGACAGTGCCTCCCCTGCGAGAGCACCAAATAACAAAAAACAAGGATTGTAAAATCATCGCATTCGCATCGCGCCAAGCAACACTCGTGTCGAAATGATGTCGGTTACATGTTGGATGGAAAGTTTTGCTTGGGGTCGCTCAGCACTTGGACACTACATGGACGATCTCCCATGCAATAATTGCGGAGAAGCTTGATTGTGTTGTGCAGCGTGTTGCGGGATGGCTTATTTTCGTGGAATAGATCTCCGCCCAAAAGGATAAAGTCCACCTACCGGAATCAGAAGAAACGATGTCAATGGAGTCAAGTAAGATAGTGCCTTTGGAGAAGAAGAGCTGCATCATCTCGTTTACATTTTCTTCTTGAGCAAGGAGCAAAATCTCCTCGAACGTCATGAACGAGTCGTTCCCACGAATCGGATCGTTTTCCAAATAGCCGATATGGTTATCGGTTGCTGTTGCAATGTCAAAGTCGGGCAAAGCAAGCATCAGCAAAACAATCCGGAACGAAACAAAAACGAAACAAAGAACAATAATCGAATGGGCTGGACCAGACTCGCGCCACTGCATCCCTTCCTCCTCCTGTGCAACAAAAAGGCTTTGCATGACTCAACTAATCAAGATGGACATGATGTTGGCTTCATCATCGTCGTCATCATCGTCGCCTTCGGCTTGGCCGTTCGCCGAGGCATGCTCCGCGGCTCGTCCAGCACTCCGCGATCCGCCATAGCCGCTGGATTTCTCTGACTGGCTCGACGAGGTCTTGATGCCACCAGTTGACGACGACGTAGTCGCAGCAGCAGCAGCAGCAGCAGCAGTGGAGCCATGATTGTTGAGATTGGCAGGATGCTCGCCGTCCGACGAGTCGTCCTGCCGAGCGCGCTTGTCCCGATGCCGGGCTGCGTTTGCTTGCTGTGACTCTTGCGATCGTGCTTGCTGCACGGCGCGTTGGCCGGCGTTGAACGGCGCTTGATCATCGTCGCCGTCGTCGTGCTTGCTTGCATGTTTCACTTTTCCCGCCAAATGGGCGCTCCCGCCGCTGAACGCCGCCGAGCTCGCCGCCGCGCGACTGCCACCGTCGGTCTGCTCGCGGCCGCCTCGAGTAGCATGCCTTGCGCCAGATGCATGCGATTCCGTCAAGCCGCTGTCCATCGGGCTCTCGTCCTGCTCGGAATCGCTGGCGACGCGCGCTCTCCTGCGCGAAGCACCTGAAGCCGACGACGCCGACGTCGACGCCGTGCTGCTGCGCTTGCTCGACCTAGGAAGGGGAGACACACATCAAACATCCCAGATAGCGCCACGTGAATACGCAAAGCACCAGGCACCATCACAGCGCTGAATCTTGGATCATGGAAAAGCGCGGCATTTGAGATTCTTACATGCAACAGTAAAGTTAGACTGCCAAGAAGGTTTGGATGAAAAAGGAGCGATGCGAAAATGCTCAGAGGAATACGAAACGAAAAACTCTTACGCACATGAAACAACAAATACACGACAACACAACTCAACGCTGAAAAACAACAAAAAAGTGCCAACAAAGCAGAGCACGAAAGGAAAGCAACATCTCCTGCACAACAAGAAAAGCGATGCACAAAAGCACATGGTTCAGTTCGGGTCGACGGCTGCAGTTTGCCTTGGGACTGCAAATATCGAAAAAGGACGCGCCCTTCTCACTAGATGCGGAGGCATCGATCAATGTGGCTGTTCACGCGATCGTTGTCAAAGCCGGTCAGGTCGGTGGCACACATGGGGCAAATGGTCGTCGGAGGATTTGGTGCCATGCCGCGACCACCAGCTGCTGCTGGAGGAGGTGGCGGTAGTGCACGATTTGCAGAGGCCGTCGGAAGCGGTGGCAGCTCATCAAACGCACCACGCGCACCGGGGACGGACCGGGGCGCGGAGCTTCGCACCGAGCCCGACGAGTACCGCGACGGCGGGACGGGTGGAACTTCGTCTCTGCTGGAATTGCTCGAGTATTGTTGTTGAAGACTAGGATGAAGCGACATGTCGGGTTCCGGAGGAGCCGAGGCGTTCGCGTTGCGTGGAGGAAGCGAGGGTGCGCCATCGCGGCTGGCGATGGGCGCAATCAACGGAGGTGAAGCGCGCGCAAGCCCTGGAGAAGGCGGCAGACCTCGGGATGACTGGAGGGCAGCCGGAGGCTCCGCTGAAGAACCGGTGCCAGGGCGGCGTGGCGGCAGAGCAGGGCCAGGCGCACCGCCAGCGGAAGGGGAGCTTTGGGCGAAGGGACTGCTGGGCACCAGCATGGGGCCGTTGGAAGGGCGGTCGTCAAACGGATGCGGGCTCGCTCGCGAGTTTGCTGGGGGCAACGGCGGTGGCCCACTAGCAGCTGCTGCGGCGGTGGTGAGACCCGCGGACTTGCGAATGGGTGTCGCGTACATGGATGGAGCCGTCGCAGCGGCTGCAGAGCTTTGCGCGTTGAGGCCAGGAGGCTGTGGCACTGGTCCTCTGTTGATGCTGCTGCTACTGCTGGAAGCGGCGGCAGAGCTGCTGCTGCTACTGCCGTTGCTGGCATGATCATCCTCGTCATGAGATTCCTTCCGTGAGATCTTGGACGCAACAAGCATGCAGAGATCAATGTCTGGCAACGAGTCACTGTCATCGTCCTCCTCCTCGCCATTCTGCGAAGCAGACCGCTTCTTGAACGGCTCGATAATGACATTTTCGACGTCCTTGATTTGATCGCGACAGAAAGGGCACACTTGCGAGCCAGTCGACCGCCAGTGTGTCACGCAAGCCAAGCACAGCAAATGGCCGCAAGGATTGATGCGCACGTTCTTGTCGTTGACGGAGCAGATCTTGCAAAGTTCGAATGTTGACTCAATGTCTGAATAAATCTCAAATTGCTCCTCGGATACTTTGATGTGCGTTGCCGGGGTGACTGTAACATGGCGTTGAATATCAGGGTTGTCATCTTGGCCCATGGGGTATTTGAAGCTGAAGCAAAGAAAAGGAGGGAGAGAAAAAAGTGAGGTGAGGACCAAGAAAAAAAAAAGAAAATCAAAAAGGAAGAAAATTGTGAAAAAGCGCCTCTTTCACTTACGTTCCATCAACGCTGCCGTCAATCAGCGCCTGATACAAGGACTTGGTGTTTGGAATGGTTTGGACAACCTTCTTTTCGGCGTTGACGTAGCCAATTGCCCACTGGCCAAGACGTGTGCAACTCAATCGGAAAACGTAGCTGAGGCACACAAAGAAATCGATTTTTCAACAAAAAAAAAAAAAAAGTCAGAAATCAAAAACGCTGAATCCAACATTCACCAGTCGACCCCACAAACAGAAAAAAACCTCATCCACCATCATGCTCTCGTGGCAGCTCGCTTACCTTCCAGGCTTGTTGACAAATGGCTTCAAAACCGTATTGACTTCGTCGTAGGTCATGTATGCTTGATACGCGGGATGGGTGATGGCAAGCACGTTCCAGTTGTTCACGAGATGCGACCAGGGCTGGAAGAGCCGTGTAAAGACATCAAACTCAAACCAAGAAATGTGGTTGTAGTCGGTCAAATTCATGGTCGTCCGAAGTGCGCTCGCCTCTTGTGGTGTGGAAATTGGATGAACGGTCTTGAAGGCAGCCAAAAACTCGTGCCACGGGACGATGCACCGCAAATCAAAGTTGGCCTTCCAAAAGTCGGCAGCCTCCTTTTTGGCAATCTTGAGGTCCTTGTCGCAGAACTTGCCGTTTGGGAAGACGGCCTTGAAATCCGTCACAATGTGCGAGAGAATCAGGGTGAACTTGGTCAGTTGGCGCCGAATGTGCGATTCTTCCTGCTGCAAGTCCTCATGCTTGCCCTTTTTGATCAGGGATGAAATGTTGTATAGCTTGAGGAAGATGTTTTGCAGCGTGATGGTCAAGTACGGAATTTGTCGCAGCGTCTCGAGCTCTGCTTTCGACAGGATGAGCTTGAGGTGTTGGTAGATTTCGGCAAGCAGCTCTTGCAAAAATGGCGGCGAGTTGCGCAGTGTGAGCTTCTTGCTCTTGATCAGCTTGAGAATTTTCTGAACGCGGGACGAGAGGCGATCGAGCGTGCGCGAGTCCAGCTCAGCGTCCGCCTTGTAATCGGCACCGTTCATCAAAGCCGACCCTGCAGATGCGTCGCCCCCATTCGACGGCGATCCGGCCGCCGACGAGCCGCTGGCATTCGGGTCGACAAAAAAGCTCCCATCGCCGCCGTCAGACGCTGGTCGGCGACGCAAGTTTGTGCGCAACGTTAGCCCGAAATCACGAAGTGACGCGCCAATGCCGTGCATGGGAGCAACTGTGTAGTGTGTCGGGGCAAAATGCTGACTTGACGACGAGAGTGTTGCAGAGAACGAAAAGTCGTGACAATACAGAGGGACTGATCCTTAACAAGCGTCCGAGCGAAACAAAAGACGGAGAAGCGGAGACGCACCAGCTGATCAAAGGCAGGTGGATTTTGGACGCGTCGAGTTGCTGGTTGAAGGGAAGGAGACAGACAGACAGACAGACAGGCAGACAGCAACGAGGTGTGAAGTGAGCAAAAATAAGGGTAAGCGACAGAATCGTCGAAAACCCAACCACGTTGACAACGCTGGCAGCTGGTGAGATGGACATTGTGACGACAACGTTGGAGACGAGCGTATGACCAACAATCCAGATCGGATCAGTGAACGACCAATAAATAAATAATAAATAAAAAATATTCAAAATGGAACTTGTCGCGATCATGCGATGGTCAACTTTTGCCCGCTTGCAGCTGCACTGAGCGGATCATTGTCTCCAGGCATCAGCACTGAGCGGGCTGTCGTATTGGATTGATCGTTGATTCTCGCATAACCCAGCGACAAAGATCTTTCTTAATCACCCTTTTGTTGTTTTGTTTGTTGTTGTTACTGGTTTGCTTTTCTTGTTTTATGCACACATTCTGATGCTTTTTTTTCAGTTTTGCTTTCTGGATGTTTTGTTGTTTTGGCTGGTTGTTGGATTGATGGTCAATGTCTGAATCACAGTGTGTTTTCGTGATCAGTCGCGTCTGGCTCGCCTTGACTGTCGTCCGCTTGCCCCTTTTTCTGCAGACCTTTTCGATTGGCTTTTTCTTTTTCTTTCTTTTTTTTTCTTTTTTTTTCTTTTTTTTGTGAGTCTACTTTTAGAATCGTCTTGCCCTTCGTGCTGCTGACTGCGCTCGTGCGAGACCGCCCGACACTCGTCTGTTGGGATGCACGCTGGGGACTGAAAGCACCCAGCGGGGCCTGGCAGCGCTGCGACGGAGGAACTGGCCGTCCCCAAGCAACAACACGGAAACAAAAAAAAAAAAAAAAAAAAGAGGCGCCATTTTAGGGCAACTTGACGGACAATCGCGCCCCCGACTCCCGCGCACTCTGCGCACTCTGTGTGCTCTGACGCAGCAAGAGACATGACTAGCGCTCTGGGGATGGCGTGGGCGCACCGACGCACAGTTGCGATGCACGAATCGCTCGTCTGCTTGGTTTGGCTTGCTTTGTAGCTTTTCAATTGTTTTTCACTTGTTTTGACGTTGTTTTTTTAAAATGGTTTGACCTTTCGCTTTGAGGATCGCTTTGAGGATCGTGTGCAGCCGCGAGTGTCTGGCGCAGGCAGAACGGTGTGCAGTCGACATGACAAGCGTCTTCCATGCAGTCGCTAGTAGCTTAGAATCACAAACTAGCAGAGCGACGGAGGTCTCGATTCAATGACCCAAACCTCGCTCTCGAAAAACAAAAAAAAAAAAGTTGCTTCAACTCAGATTGCAACTCGCACCAGACACACACACACACACTCCGACACGGAGCCGTTTTCGCAGGCGATGAAAGCAAGGAATCGTCCCAGACGAAGAAAGCAAGAGGGAGAAGGGGGCTCAGCGGAGGTGGCGACAAGAGGCAGTTTGGAAAGAAAGACAAAAATCGTACCAAAATCTAAACAGAAAAGCGACAAAAACAACGAATGACAACAATGCTGTATGATACTGTATGAGAAAGAAGACAACCGAAATATCAGGTCGAACAAAGTCATATGCAACATTCAAACAAAACATCAAACAAACACGCTCACGGAACAAACGTCTGGTTGAAAGCGCCCTCTTCATACGAGGTCGGGATGACTCGGCAAATCATGCACTTGTCCTGACGCTCAATCATCCAATCAGCACACCCAACACATACACAAGCGTGACAGCAAGGAATCAGCTTGGCGTTTGTCGGAGCGCTGAAACACACCAAGCATTCGCGATCGCTGTCCGGTCTCACTTCATGCTCCTCTACTTCCTCAGGTTCACCCCTCAGTCGACAAGTGATTTGGCCAAAGGTTGGTCGGTCGACTCGGTCGGACTCGAGGCAAGGAACAGCAACTTCCGCCACTGCGGTGGCAGCGAGTTTGTCCGGAGCACCCCACACGATTGACGCATCCAACTCGGAATCGAGCTGACCCTGCTTTTTAATAGCGCGTTTCACTGCACCAGCAAGCTCAATACCAGGCTGCTTCGCGGTCAGCAGCTCCAGCAAGATCATGCCGTACGAGTACACGTCCGTTTTGATGGAGACTTTGCCTTCATCGCGATACTGAGGGCAAATGTACTGGCGAGTTCCTTGAATGGTCTGTGTCTGGATGTAGCTCTGCGCCGCCGTCTGAGCTGGTGCAGAGCGTGTCAGACCAAAGTCGGCGACCTTTGCAGTGAAATGGGCATCTAGCAATACATTGTCCGTCTTGAGATCCAAGTGGAACAGCGGCTGACGCGAAATGGCAGTCTGCACAAAATGCATGGCACTCGCAATCTCGGTTGCGATTCTCTGGCGTTGTGGCCAACTCAGAGCTGGCGTGCCATTTTTGCAGTCCAGACGATCGCGCACCGAACCGTTTGCCATCAGTTCGTACACCAAGCAGCATTCGTCGCCTTCGTGAGCATAGCACATGATAGTGACAATATTCGGGTGGCGAAAGCGCGAGAGGGATTCGAGCTCGGCCTGAAATTGAGCGATGCCTTGCATAGAATCGGCCGCCAAACGTTTGACAGCAACTTGTGTACCACCCCAGATGCCAGAGTACACACTACCAAAACCGCCGCCCCCAATGCGCCGGGAAGGCGCGAAGTTGCCAGTGGCTTGTGAAACCTCTTGCATGCCAACTCGAGGAATAGTGGTCGCGATTGCTGGAACTTGGATGGCTGAGGACGATGAGGAATCAGGCTGTGCGATCGGCGCATCTGCGGGACATCGAGAGGCCTTGAATATGTTCAGAACCTGTCGCTGCAGCTCAGATGGCTCCTCGATGCGTGATAAACTGCGTTGTAATACTGGCTG